ATACTTTCCTGTTTTTCGTTCATTTAGATTATACTAGTCAAAAAATGAAACGGTGACCTTTTTGCGTAAAAACAGCAATAACCCACACCAAAATGTGATACTACTCACGACTTTAACAAAAGACTGAAAATATTAAGAATACCAAGAACAGTCCCTGGTACAGCGATTTTTATTTTTAAAATTGTGAATACTTCGAGATTACTATCATTATCATAAGGTGAAAATGCATTTTTCGCGGTATTTTAAAAGAACAAATGTTAATTAAACAATCATTTATGTATTTCTTATAGGTCTTTCGAAAGGAAACAGACTTTCAATTTACATGAATTATTACCGTTTACATAAGAATTAGTTTTACGCTGCTGGTCTCCTAAAATAAGAATCTGTCAAAGACGGATTAAGATGTGTTATAATTTTTACCTCTGTGTTATAAACCCTCATGGCGCACTGTCATCTCACACTGAACGAACCCCGTTATCACGAGAGACTTTCGCCATTCTTTGGTCTTTGTAAATTGTGACACTGTGCCGCAGTGAATCTCACAGATAAGCCGGGATTAATCTCTACTTTATTGCCCTTTGTTTTACAGTTTCCCTCGCAGAGAAACCAATAATCTTTTTTTATCATCGTTTCTAAAATTGTAATTTTCTTAAATATCTCAACGGATTGAGAAAAATCTTACAGTTGAATTTTATAGAATACCGGTATATACATCACTTTAATATCTTTGTTAAAATTATTGAAAGTACCTGGGATTTTTTTTATTTTGATTGATTATTAAAATACTAAGTAGAATCCATTTCTAGATTGGATATAAATCAAAAAGATGGTTATCCCCTTCATTAAATTTGATATGTCGCAGTCTACAGTATACGTTTTACAAAGAGCATGTTTATTTTTCTTCCTTACTTGCGCAGATCTATTCTTTGTAAGATAAGATTTTTGGATCTAATGAAAAAGAATACGTATTCTAATCATTGAAATGTCATACAATTTTCTTCAGACAGAATTAAGCCTTTAAAGGAAATACTTACTTTGTTTATGGGCTCTTCCTGTATAATTTACATGATTTAAGCCTGAATGAAACAACAAGTCAATTCTAAGTCCTCACTGCGACAAACCGACACAGAATTTTCCTCCTACCCTGCCTCTTGTCCAAGTCATCGATCCTAGAGCGAAGCCTCTCGGGTTGTCTTGGATTTTCAGGTAATGCTCAGCAATTTCATGTTATTCCCAGATCATGCTGCAAATAGCAGCCAACTGTCATATTTACCTGGCCAGAATCACGAGCAAGGGCTATTACCCGAGGAGATACGAATTGGTGCAATATAATCAGGCCAATTGCTCTAGATGTCCTATCTATATCTGTTGTCATATTTAGACTAAAGGTAATTATCACGTGGTTTATGGTGCTTAAATATACCATTGCATACTATAACTTGAGGTTATATACATGTATGTTATTGTACTGTGTTTTAAAAAACATTAACTACAAAATATTTTGTGGACATAGTCTCTACAATAACCTAATTAGTTTGTCTCGATAGAATGTAACTTTGACAGCAAATAATAGGATTGAACCTCATAGAAATACCCTTTTTAAATTACACTTACAAACGAAAATTTCAATGAAAAATTAGAAGAAAAAAAAAGAATTGTTAAATTCTAGACTAATGGAATTAAAATCTTTTATCTTATAATTCTCTATTTTTTAATTTCATTCATTTCTATTTTCCTTACCTAACATCATTTGAAATTTCTGCTTGAGATTTTATCATTTTGATTACATGGTAAATTGATTCGAGAATTCATAGACAAGGACTAATGTTTGTGTCAGCGAAATAAAAGCACTAGACGTTAATAGTCAAGAAATAAAGCATAATGGCAACATTTTATTTAAGAAGGACCATAAGCTACATCACCGGCCTCAAATTGCAACATGTCTATCCAAGTAAATACTGTAAAATCCAAGACGAAAGAAGGGTAATTTTCATTTTTACAAATTTTCTTTAAAAGTTTTGTTATCTTCATTTGTAAGTTATAAATCACAGGCACCAGACGTTACTTATTTTTCTTTTAATAAAAAAAAAAATATACCCATACTTATAATAAACGTTTATTATTAGGTATGGGTATATTTTTTTTATTAAAAGAAAAATAAGTAACGTCAGGTGCCTGTGTTATAAATATATTGTGCTAGATCCAAGATTTAGAAGAGTTCAAGACTTGATTAAGGTTGACTGTTCCCTGTAGAATCCTTTTTAATTTAGTTTAGTTATAACAAAAAATAACAATCTTAGTGAAATTATTATATAGATCAGTAAATGAAATAAAAACAAAACACGCATACAAATTGTCTGGAAACCATTAGCGAAATTTAATTGAAATGTGTAAAATGTTGAGGTTTCCAACTGAAAGTCTCTGGCAGTTAGTTGAGGCACTGAATTCTACTCAACCCTACTCATCATCCACACACAACGAAGGGGATATAATTATGCAACCATGTGTGTGTGTTTGTTAGTGAGTGAGTTAATCCTGTGCGAAACGAAAATGACGAAATTTCTATATCAAGATCGAATTCAAATATCGATGTTGAATGCTGCCTTGATTTATTCATATGGTCTTCGTGAGGGGGATCTCCGCTTTGCGGTGCTCTTTTATTCGTATTGCAATTTTTACTCATAAATAGTCGAACATAAAAGGCATTTTCTACAGTCACTGATACTGATTCAGTGTTCTATACAAGTCATTTCTTTATCCTACATCAGTCACTGATAATATATCCAATAATGGAGTTATATGAATAGACTTACTTTTACAACCGACGACTGAATTTTACAATTTAAACAGAGACCAACTCTTACTAAAATGGAAAAGTCAGCTGTCAAATGTAAAAGTAAGTCTCTTCATAAAACTCCAATAGCCACCAAGTTACCTAAAATAGATATGACCATCTATACGGTCTAGACAACCATACTACAGTATACTAGTATGTTATTTGTATCTGTCCTTTTAACAGATATTGCTCAGTTAGCAAGATGTTTCACGTATCAAACTGTTTTGATTTCAAAGACAAACACTATTGCATATACTGGGAGCAAAGTAAAAGAAAGTATAATTTTTCAATGTGTTATTAAATGATATTTGATACTGTGCTAGATGTAGGGATTTTCTAGGGGAATTAATTTTCTACCCCTCTCAGATATGATCGATACATGCAGGAAAAAAATTGATTACAAGCAAATTCAAGGTTTCACATACATATATGTACATGTCATTTGATAGTACAATTCTCAGGTAAGCTTGGACTTTCAGTAAGGCGTGGCATTCTCGACGTTACATAATTAGCATCTGAAATTCACACAGCTTTCATTCACTGTTGAAATATACATGGGATAGAAATTCGGCCAAGTGTCAACTATGGATCGAATAACCAATAACATTGTCTCGTCCGGCAAAGAGGTGGAGCTTAAGTCGTCTCATTGTTGTCAACAACAATTTGAAGTTCCTGATGTTATTTATTTCTAAACCAATGAGAATCTATTCGCCATTTAACACACGCAAGCGCCGAGAATGCCACGCCTTACTGAAAGTCCAAGCTTACCTGAGAATTGTACTTTGTTTCTGACGAAGAGGGTATTACGGACGTGTATTGGAATATCAATTCACAATCTGTCTAGCACCCTAAAGTCAATGGTTAAGTAACCATTAATTCTGTATTTTACTATGAACTGTATTTTTTAAGGGGGAAGGGATGTTGTTATATCAATATCCTGAACAAATATTACCTTTGCATTATTATCCTATACAAATTAACTTCTTCCTTTACAAATATGGCTTTTGTATCACTAATATACAATATCAACTTTCTTTACTCATGGTTATTATTTTGTAGAGATTGGATTATACCTAGTATATTGATTTTTGTACGAATGGCAATAGCCTAAAGCAATGTCGTATATTAATTTCAAGCTGAATGCAAGATTCATCAGTTCATATGATCTTAAAAAAAGTTGCTGGTAGATGTACTCCGAATCAATTATTTACGGACACAAAAGCATCCACAGAGGTTGCCCTACGGTTTATAGACTCCTATTCGTTCTGCCCCTCCGTACTTACAGAATACATTCTGAGAATTACAGAGACCCTTGGTCTATTTTAACGCTCAGCCTATCGATACCATATGCCCTGATTAAACAAACGATATTGGAAACAAATATTGGTTGGTGGGACATTTTCTCTAATTAGGGTTGTCTAGTTAAACACCGCCTGTACATTTGACTATAAATAGAAAAGCGAAATATTTTCTGTCAATGTAATTGTTTGCATATTGAAATATTTAGAAAATAATTATATATATTTATAAGCCCCTATACATGTTTAACATCTTATTATGTAATGGTTGTCTTTTCTTATGTAAAAACTTTATTTTTAAAAAAAAGTACTCGTCTGAACATCGCCTGTAAAGGTACTGGTACTTGTGATTTTCTTTCTTTTAGATACTCTGTGGTAGGCGCACTGTTTACACAGATGATAGAATTTGCTGAAGTTTCAAACGTACGTGTACTGGGTCACGGATCATAGTCCAACACTTTGTCCCAGAATCAGGATATCTTTGTAATTCGTTGTTCTTTTTTAGCCAATCGTGCTCAATCTTATTGTTGTAAATATCCAAAAAACACCTTAACTGACACATTGCTTAAAAATCTTGTTATATCCGGTACATAAAACTGTGGTAATTACCTTTTGCAATTTTATTGCTACAGTAATATTTGTAAAAGCACCCTTGCACCATTAAGTACACCAAGATACTAGTGTCCTCTACAAAAATTTGAATTTTTCAATTAAAATTAATTGTCATATACAAATTTTAATTGAAAAATTCAAATTTTTGTAGAGGACACTAGGGTAAATATGTAAACGCAAATGGATGGAAATGAAATAGGTTTAAATTCATACGCATAAACTTTTATTTGAAATACAAACATACACATGTGATAACTATAAGCACATGAACTCATTCGATTCCTTACCTATTTGGTTTTTGCTGTATATATTGCTTGGGTTCTTCCCAGGCATTGAACAATTCCAGTCTCAAAATCCTCAATTTTGGGACATCTTACGGTTTCTTTTTACAGTAAACTACTATACTATTCCAATATGTACAATCATATATTCAAAATGTTTAAAAAATCACGAAAAAATATATACAATAAAGCACTCAAATCCTATTATGCAATTGACTAGTTCTTATTAAGGTTAGGAAAATACCATGACAAACAATAAGGTCACTAGAGATCCTAGCACTGTAGACAGACTAAATGTGGATCCCGACCCTCTACCCGGCGGCTGACGGAACTCCTTATAGAAAGCTGTGGTATTACACACATTGTCTTTGAGTACGGTCTGCAGAGTAACGTCTTTCTGGCAGGTGGAAGGAAGCATTGTACATTCGAACTCGTTCTTCAGACCCACGCCTGCTTTACTGCAAGACTGTTTCCATGCACCCATGTCACAGCTCAAATGCTCTACCCGGACTCTGTTACGAAACAAATGCCTTTTAAGATACTGGTAATTTTTTGTAAAGTTGCTGTAAAGTTTTTGTAAGTTTTGCAAGTTCATGTTCGACATGTCTCAGTATTTTTAACAGTACAAGTCTGAAGACTAAACCCTTTACCAAATTCATTGAGCAATTATTTATTTGATATATTAATTGGTTTAGTTGATATATCTTACTTGCAGTACTCCGAGAAGAAAGCGTCCATATCTAGATTCTGCTGGATTTGCCGAGCGGCTAGGTCCACCATGTTTGCGGACATGGTGTCCAGACATTTTTGTACAGCTATGCTGGGTTTCTGGAAACACACCAGGCCTTCCACGTACACTGTGAGAGAACAGAAACCAATCTAATAATGCAGGGTTCGTAGAAATATCTATATTTCATGTTTTGTTTAATTATAGATATTCATATGTTTGTTTATTTATTTTGTTCATTGAATACCTCCTTACCGTCAATGTCTCCACAGAGCAGGTCGATGCTGGCCTCCATAGAGGCGTGGTCGTAACCAGTCAACAACATGTACTCATTGGCTCCCTCACAACCTTCAATCACGTTACGCATGCACGAAAATAAGGTACTACGGACTCTGAAAGGTAACATTTAGTATTTCATAGTTTTGTTTTCTGAAAAGTTCAATTTCTGCACTGTTAAAATCCGAAATTGGAAACATCAGGGAGTTTCAATTGACAAGGACTAAAATTGCAGTGCAAACAATTTTGTAAAAGAGAATTGCAATCTGAATCTCATATGCTTAAATCGTAGTAAATATACGTTTCATTACATTGAACACTATACTTTTCATTTCATTACACACTTTGTAATTAATTCGAATAATCGCCTGACGGTTATATTCCCTTTCCGCTGCTGATCTCATACAGAGCTCTGAACCTACCCACAGAATTTGGCGGCCGCCTTTTTGTCCTTTCCTATGATGGCGCCCTTGATCTCCGTCTCGTTGGAACCAAACATGCTGGGGCTGAGTCCCGCGGTAGTGTAGCACTGCTGCATGTTTCTGTCCAACATCCGCATACAGGAGTTCGCCTGCGGCATCACACCTTTAGATTATACGTACAAAGTAATTAATTATTCCTAATAAAGTGTTGATGAACGATATATAAAGATGCAAGAAACAGTGTTTACAATGTTATAGATCTCGTCTCTCTTTATGTACCTGCACCACAAGCGTTTTGTAACGCTGTTAATCTTCTGACTACTTGATTTTCTGCGAAGTTAAACTCTGCGCTGTCCGTGCATGGTGGCTTTCCACGCATGTTTAAAGTTGTTGGGACTATGCACTGTATTATTTGGGCTCTTATTCTGCAAAAAAAGTAATATAAAAAAGGAGTTAAATTAAGCAAAAACCCAGTTGTAACTCAATACTGTTTAGTGAAAAGGGAATTCGGATCTATATCTCGAACATCTTTCTCTAAGATGGCCGGTTAATTTTTCATGCGTTACAAGTCTATTTTAAAAAACACAAATCTATCAAATTGTCGTCTGAAGACTGGCTACGGTCAGTGACGATTATTTGATTGATGAAATCATTTGAGTCACGTGATGGGCAATGGTCAACATTCAAAATGTTACGTCACGCATAAAACTTATCAAGTTCTGTGTGCATTTAAATCAATATAAGCATAATTTTTTTTAATGCTTTTAACAATCAACTATCATCTGTAAAGAAAATTGTCTTACAGATTTTATTTTTAGCACAAATGTAAACAGTCAATTAAAGTAAATAATTAGCTTAAGTGATAACGCCAGACGCACCCACATAACGTCTTCCTAAGGTCCATTATATTGGAATTGGGAGGTAGCGGTGCTATAGTTCCATTGGTCAACACAGCATCAATGGTAAGCATAGAGAGTCCTGATCGCTGGAAACAAGAGGCGCTGAGTTGTTCCACTTCTCGCATACACTGATTTCGGACTGGTTGTGGTTGCTGGCCATTGCCCAGAGAAATGGCAGAGAATCCTGTAAATGAAGTACATTGTAATTATCAGACTAATCTTATACATATCCACTGAATATTTATAATTCAAATATGAATTTAAAAATATTATAAATTAATTTAAAAAGGTATGAGATCAATAAATACACCAGGGCAAATGTATTTGAAATAATATTTATGAAAATACAGTCCCCGATTGGTATCTTTCTAGAGTAAGTAAACGATTTAGATAAAAAAGGTTTTTATCAGAATTATAACATCTATAGAAGGTTAATTTTTCTTAATGGAAATAATAAAACCCTTAACCTGGACTCACCTATTATGAAAAGTAAGAGGTGCATAGCTTAACCTTGCCTTATGCCAGTATTCCAACTTAACGTAAAATGGACAAATGTGAAGTGTGCACTCTTTAAGTATTTGAATTGATGATTAATACATGTGAATATTATGCCGGAAAATATTTAGCAGTAGGATGACCCATCTTGCATACCAACGATTCGTCACGGCTGTCGCTTGTACGCAGATATCCATGTATCACCAAATTCCGACACCTCTGACCTGCCTCTAATTATCACAGGGTACTTTTTAAATGCATTATTATTTATTTTTTGTTTATCAGATTTTTATAAAATTCCCTTTATATTTATCAAATTCGATTGAGTGTATGAAATAATGTCAATAAAGTGTGAAAAATTGATGCATTTAATAATGAAGAACAAGTATCCCGAGGAGATTTTATATGCAATTGCTACTTACTAGTACTCTTAGTCAACTGGATAAAGATCAACCGTTACGTCAGTTACAAGTATATAATTGTTAATCAATTACATTAACTTTCCATATCAAATTTAATATCTTTGTCGTTTACCTTTTTTGGTTGTTTCTTTTGGTTTAATTTTATTTTAAAAACTCACCAAGTATTTTGAAAAATAAAAGGTGAATATTAAATTTTTCAAATTGCATGTATACATTTTTTATTTTGTTGAAAGGATATTGAAACTTAAAAAAAAAAAAAAAATAACGAATTGCTACTGGCAGCGCTTAGCATTGTATGTTTTTCGATCAGGCATCATCAGATCACCTTGCCCAGAGATGAGAATCTTCCACACGTCTCTTATAAAATCTAGTGGATATTGAGCTGATTTTGGTATGTGAGTGTATCTCGTTGAGGTAAATCAGAGTTATAGATCAAATTTGAATTTTGTAATGATTTTGACAAAATTCTAACATTCTTAATTAATGATGGAAACCAGTCTGAGATTATACTTGTTAAAAGGGGACTGCATATGGTGTTAATATCTCCCAACTTATTCTATACACAGGGACATACCCCCCTGATACAATCAATTTTTAAACAGAGTCAGGCTACACACAGGTAAGTTGATGTTACAGATATTTCAACAACCCTGTTTAAAGTCAGCATTTCATTCATTCCATATCGTTATAATGACCGTATTAGCAAATACATATAACCTATCATTAGGTCGCATTTTGGCTGACACGTTTCATACCAATTGTTAAGCCTTTGTTTTATACTGAATTCGACTACGGAATGTTCCGTCTACTTGAACAATAAATAGGGCTCACGGCGCGTTTGACCAGTCTACATGGGAAACTTACTATACTCCTAGGCAATGATCCCACCTCTGGAATTTCCAAGGATTTATGTTTTATGTTTTTGGATTTTCGAGATTGATCACGGTTTATAATTTTCACCTTAGGCTTATTTACAAAAACTACTTTTCATTTTAGCAAAACACCAAGGTTTCTTTCAGCAAATACAATTTCATGTCAATATGACTTAAATTAACTATCATGGCCAAAGGAATCGGGGAGAGCGCCGTGCTTCATATCTCGACTCCAAAGTTCATATATGTAAAGGGCAATAACTTTTCTGGTGATGTGATATGTGGAGCTGAAAGATGTTATTTTCATAATTTCTGTAATTTTGACTTATTATATGTATATACTGTAAAATCACATGTTTTCGTGGGGTCAAATTTTCGAGGTTTGAGGAAAAAATCTTGGTTCGTGGGGACTTGATTTCGTAGATGGAGAATGTTTTAGTAGCAATGTGTATAACATTTTACATTTTGTGGTGGTCATAAATTTGTGGGTCTCTCCTTGCCTCGAAAACAACAAAAATTAAATCCCCACGAAAAATAGTGATTTTACAGTATTCTGTTTATTTTAGATCAATGCCTTTTTTCCTCAATAAATACATGATGATTTAACTTAACATCTGCCTTGCTGCTCGGTTACACACAGACATATATAGATAGTGGTCTTAAAAACGTCATACAACCTCTCCTTTTGATTCTTACATGAAAGATATGAATATTGTATAAAATGTACATACTTAAGTTATACTTGTATACTGTAACTCCTGTTGTTTCTTCATGCCCTCGGTATATTGATTAACGAATTGAACTTTTATTGTGTGGGAATGTTATGAAGTTGTGTTGCATGTACTTGTAGTAGTGTCCTGAAGTTTCTGTTGCTCCTTGATTGCCACAGAGTCAATACTGCCCCGGTAATCATGAATATGAATATGGAGACCCCCCTGCCATGGTTGCATATATGTTACCTGGTGATCTCCCATCTTCTAAATGAACATTCATCAATGATAATCATGTCTTGCTTAGAGTTTAGGGAGATCCCACTGCCTGTGTGATATTAGGTGCTAAATATATCTCTGTACGTTTATCTGGGATCTCCCTAATAGTTAAGGTAGTTTATTAGTTGTTAGTTTTGTCATTAATAAATGACAATATTCATCAAAGTATGTATTGTAGTGTTTAAAGGAGGTAAAAATTAAGAAAGCTGCAGGACCAACAGGGAACTGGTTTTCACACATTCTTTACAGTACAGGCATTTGGCTAGCAGAAGATAAATGGAGGGCATAAATATCTTTATTTTACTTTATACCGGGGTATATAGCTTTACTTTACACAGCTGACTATGTGACCTTTATTGGTCATTTTCAATTTGATCAAAATGCTATTTAATATTGTAAAGTTCATATTTTCTCACAATTTTAGCATATTTTGTATAAAACTGTTTATTTTCTAGCAGTTTTTCTTCCAGAAAATATTGAGCGCAGACTAGAACAAACTTTTTAATTTTTGCCCAAGATGTATCTATCTAATATTAAATACTGGCAGAAAAATTTCACATGTTCTACACTGCGCTCGATGTTTTCCTCTAGAAAAACGTCGTGAGAGCATATTTGGCTTTTTTTTTTTTTGGTTAGATAGCAAAAATAGCATTATTTGTGATCAGTGTCATTTACAGCCAATGAGTGCATAAGAATGTGGAAAAAAGTATTGGAATTATTTCTAATATCATCTTCTACAGAATAAATTATATCAATTATTCATATTTAAATATTAAACTAAAATGATGATGGGGCCAAATTTGGATCTTTATATCATATTCAGTCCTTCATATGATGTTAACCAATTACCATATGGTAGATGCGCTCATGTGGAAAAACTATACTATGGGCAAAAAAATTGCTTGTAGTAAAGGGTTGTCTGATAAATTATTTTCGTTTAAATCTTCTCATCAAAAACTGGACAAATAAATGAAAACAATATACTCATTATCAAAGTACTTGCCGATCTGAAATGTATTCTTTATCGAGAAATTGAATCCAAGCTAAATATTTTTGTAACCTGTATTTATTAATGAATGATTGGCGACCGAGAGACATGTTTCCTTGGTTGTTACGAACTGCCCAATCCTAGCTACACTGTTCTTACGCGACAAGTTTGATGAATGAGCGTTTACCCCGTGACATCATCATTTACATAATTGCATCCTGATCGTCAGAGATACGACATAATATAGTCCAATCAGATTCGTTGTAACAAATCTCGAACTTCTAATTCATTCACTTTTCCCATTTTGTCATTTAACCGTTTTCTCTCATTATATAACCTAGGCTATGATATTTCTGATCTCCTATAAATATAGTTGATTTTAGTGTTTTACATAATTATTTAAACACAATTCAAAGCATTGTGTTTGATCTATTATGTTTAAAACATCTTATTGTTATAAAAAGCTTGTATATATACCCTCTGGACTCAATATAAAACTGGAAAATTAAATAAGCTTATCAATTATCTTATCTTTTACTATTTGGCTAGGAACTCATCTATTAGTATTTATTTGTTCGGAATACATACATAAACAACAACTTATTTTTAAACTAATTTTCCAATTTCAAAAAGAGTAGGTATATATACATGTATATATATATATATATATATATATATATATATATATATATATATATATATATATATATATATTAGCTAATGGAATTTTGAATATATTTTGAATTTTAGAATATACTGAGATATTATCAATAAAATCGTAATATCAAACCAATGAAAAAATGACTTTACTGTTGTGTACTTGCTATTACTGGAAACAAAACGCAAAATTAAAATATTTTAAAAATATGTTTTTATTATAAAATCAACAATATCAAAATGAGCGCTCATTTTGTTTTGAAAAACATATAAATAAACATTTGGACTTTCAAGACTCTTTCACACACATAAATTACGATACACGCACACATCAAGAAACAATTCAAACACAAAAAGTGGATTCACAGAGACATAACCTATGATATCACAATAAAATTACATGCTAAGTAATATCTTCGGTTGGACGTTGGTCCGTTCTACAGATTTGTAGCTTAACTTATAAAGGATTTGCATCATCACATTTTAAAATAAACACATTTTTTACACAAAAACCGATTTAACTAAAAGTTCCGAGACAGTTTTCCTCCCTTCGAAGTCCCTCGGTCTGTAATATGACGTCATCAGGATAATTATATTCCTTCTTCAAATTTTTCTTTCTTTTTTCGTTTCAGAGCTTTTCATTTTTTAATAAATATCCCTGACTTATATTCAATAATACCTTATTCAGTAACAGCCAGAAATTTCAAGGCTTATTCAAAGACGATAACGTCTCATCATGGCTGAATATGGTACGATGAATGACCTTTATAATCGAAATCTGACTTAAATAAATGCAAGTAGAGAAAGTCCAATGGTTATTAAAGTAGCCGAGAAACTAAAACGTCCATTAGCACTATTATTTCCCTGCTGTCCACCTTTTGTATTAGCTACATTGTTTGTGTTTCCTGTGTTCTGTGGTGAACCACCGGAACTTCCTCGCCGGTTGGCGCGTGCGTAGTTGTTAACATTACACATTTGCTTGAAAGCGGCTCTTTTCAAGCCTTGGCACCTGTCCTGGATAAGGTTACACTCAAACTCGGTCTTCAGACCCATTGAGGCCTCGTCACAAGAGTCTCGCACGGCATCAAGGTCACACTGCAGTTGTTCCATTCGGACACTATAAAACAAATTACGATATCATTCATTATGTATCAAAAATATATTTCGCAAAATTTGAACTTATGAATTGTTTCTGCAATTTTGTTTCAAATAATGTGTTTAAAATTGTTACATAAATGTGTACCTGCAAAACTGTGCATAATATGCAGATGACATTTGGCTGTTCGGATTCATTCTTGTTAAATCTCCCATTTTCATTTCAGCATTCCTCTTGCACTGGTCAATTTTAGCATTTGAACCAACAGCACAGGTAGAAAGCTGTCCGTATCCTAGAAAATAGATAGTAAATATTTTTTAAACAGTTCCTCTTATGTCAAGAAAACGGTAGAGTATGATTAACATTGTTCTGTGTAATAAGAGAACAGATCTTACCATCCATGTTTTGGCAGAGTAGATCCAGAGCGTCCTCTAGAAGATCCTGCTGGTGGCCCCAGTAAGCCAGCAGTTCGGAAGCTCCAGGGCAACCTTCAAGGGTGTCCCGAAGGCATCTGAAGACAGACTTCCTGTTCCTATTAAAAAATGACATTTTGTCTTACTGTCTCTGTTTAGCTTTGTGAATAGTTCTATCCCGTAAAGTTTTCAGTATAAGCATATATTCTGACTTCACTTGGAGAAATCTCTCCAAGTACTTGCATCAATTAAAAAAATCCATATTTCATGTATTTTCGAAACTTACTGGCAAAATCTTTGTGCTTGCGATCGGCCTCCGAGCATATTGCTGCGATCGTGTGTTACGTTGACAATAAATGTTTCTGGATCAATGTTGTATGGGGCCAAGCAGTTTCCGATGTTAATTTTGACGTCATCAACGCAGCTATTTGGCCGAAGACGGGCTGTTAAAAAGAAGGAAACGTCACCATTATACAATATCAAACAGGAGCCATGCTTAAGCGCAAGTTTGTATGTGTGAGTATCCATTTCTAGGTTTATTTGTTTAAAATCCACTTACCATCAGCTGGACAAACTTTAGATATTTCATCCTCATTGACTTCATGGCATCTAACAGGTAACAAATGGCACTCGAACTTAGTTTTCAGGGCAATAGCCTTGGGGTCACATGTTGGCCAAGCTTGGGAATCACAGGTCACGTGATCCACACGGATTCTGCAATTGTGAAAGTTTTCCCTTAGATTCTAGTATTTAAAGAATTTGCAATATTAAGTCTTCATTTTAAGTATTAAAAGCGAATATTATAAATAACTTGTTCACAACTTACTTGCAGAAGTCGTTCAAGAATCCGTCAAGAGTGATTCCTTTAGCCATTTGTTTAGCGGACATCTGTGTGATATCGCGACCCATGTTAGCAATGCATACCCGAGCCTTGTCACTGGGCTTCTCAAAACAATTAATTCCAGCAAGGTATTCTGGGATGTCGTCACAAAGAATTCCAACGGCCCGCTCCATGGACACGAGATCGAATCCTGTCATTGACATTGTCTGCTCTGCCCCGGGACACTGGTGCATAACCTTCTTCATACAAGTGTACAGTTCTGTCCTCTTGCTGTTAAAACAGGGATTTATTATTGACTTTTTCCACATAACAGAACTAATAAAACTAACAAGAATTAACTGAATATCATTCATTCATATTTTAGTATTTGAGAAGTACATACTGTATAACGGTATTTTACCTGCAGTAATTTTTGGCTGAAGCTTCGCTGGTTCCCAAAATGGCTCCTTTGTGTGCGGTAATGTTAGAGAAGTACACAGCGGGGTCCAGGCCGACATTAGAGAAACACTTGGTGAATTGTTGCTGCAGGGTGAGCATACAGGCTCCGGGGACTGTCGTATCGTGACAGTAGGCGCCCACGGTGATGATGACGTTCGCAAATGTTCCCTCGGAGATCAGAAGATCTTTTCCTTTGCATTGATTCTCAATTACTACCTTCTTCCCACATTCCTCAAAATTGTGGAAATTGCTGAAATAAACAATGGAATGTTAGAAAAAAATGGATTAAGATTTTATGATCATATGTATTTATCAGGCAAATGTCAAACTCTTACTCGCAGATTGTTTTGTTGAGAGTTTTCATGTCCTGTCCCTCGGGAACCTGCCCTCTCGTCAGCAGAATCATGATGTCATTGAGAGGGGCGCCCATGTTGTCAATGGAACACTGGTTCATCTCTTTTTCAAACTTCATGAGACATGGACTTGGAGCACGCCCTGGTCCTACGAGTGGTTGACCAGTGCACACTGCTTGGTAGGAGGCCATCATATTCTGAAGAGTCTGACCGACCATGAATTGTTCTTGCTTTGTACATTCGTTAGCCAATGACTGTAAACCACCAGATGCGCACCCAACAATAACCTGTTGCGTTGGTTTGCTAAAAGATGCAAATAAAGCAATATTTTGAAATGTTACCAACTTTGAAATTCTGAAAAAAGTTTATAGGTAAATGCACATGGAATATTGCTGAGCTAGATAAAGTTGTGGAACCTACTTGCACGTGCTGTCTCTGAGCTGAGGGAAAGTCATCCCGGTTCCTTCCGTCTGATTGGCGAGAAGTTTAAAGTAGTTCTCCTGGTTGACTTTCTGCTGAGTCATACAGGATTTAAATTTGTCGTCAAATTTCTTCAAACATGGTGGCATCTCAGCTGTAAGAAGTGATTATGAAGAAATTGAAAATGTTGTAGAATATCAGCAGGCATGAACATCAGGACGACAATGAACGAGAGTACGGATACACTTACGTGTGACTCCACACATGACGGCAATGGCTCTCCCAGTGGATTGGATGGTGGAGTCCATCATCATCTTTTCACGGTCACTGCACTGGGTCTGAATGTTCTGCATGATTGGTTTCACGCATGTGTCAATATTCTGTCTATTTCTGCAGAATAATATGAAAAGTGTGAAATAAAAGAAATGAAATCAACTAAATTATAAGAAATCAGATAAATAACAGATAGACAAAACTTCAAGCTCAACATAAATTTTCATAATTCTTTTTCTATTTTATTTTCGAAATTTGTCTTTATACGTCTCTCCTAAAATAAAATTTGCTTTTGAGTGTTGCTTTCTGTTGCAGAAGTCACGTGATCACTATAACGTACCCACAGAGTGTTTGCATCAGCTGAGGTCTGCTGGTGCCTTGTGGGAGGGGGCCACTGGAACCGTTGGTGACCAATGAAAAGATGACCTCCAATTTAAAGTTTCCGTTATCCATGAAGCACTTCCGGAACATTTTATCAAAAGTCTGCAAACATGGTGAGTTGAACTGTGACCCCTGTTGACCTTGTTGACCTTGCGCTATGGTCCCTCCAATCGTTACACCTGTTTAAGAATTGGAAATTAGAAATTATAAGTTTTTTTTATATATAAATCTGAAAGTTTAACCTCTGTTAAATCATTTTCTCGGAAACAATAAACATTTGATTAAGAAATGTAACTAAGCAATTAGTTAAATCGTGTTCGAAAGGTAGAAATTTACAACATTTATGAGTACACACTATGAGTTTTAATTAATGGTTAATATCGGCACAAAATAAATTATGGACAGGAATAGCATAAAATTGTCCAAAAACAATCATTATGTGGTCAGTGAAAAACGACATCTAATATAGCAAATACGTCCGGAATAAAACAGACATAAAACGTCACAATGCCCGGCCAGGCCTCGGTTAGTAGTGATAATGACAATCATCATTGCTACTCATTAATGGACGCCGAAAGAAGGGACGTCGGTTTTGAAGAATTCACTTTATGTTATACTCAAAATGTTCAAAGAATATCAAATAAAAGTTATCATAACGTATATATTCAAAAATTCAATTAAAGTACTTTGCACTTTGTATGTGTAAAGTAAACACGTTTTAAAGATAAAGATTTTTTTTTTCTAGATATCTTTTTTAAATATTGTTTTCAAATGAATAATTTGCCAATGTATTTTAATGATAGAGTAGATTTTTTTTTCTATTTCACTGAATTACCTTGGGTTCATCAGTTTCCAATATTAGCAAGTATTTACGTTTCATACATTACGGTTTTAAAGAAAATAAAGAACTTCTTTATGATATTTTTTTTTCATATTTGGCTATCTTTTTAAAATTCTATCATAAAATATCGCTATACTCACCTAAAAGGATGATAAATTTCCACATTTTTTGGTAATATCAAGTGTCCCAAACGTATAAAAAAGCACTTCACATACAACTGCGAAAAAGTGAATATAACCGAAATATTAAAGCCCTATAGTCCCTTGTGAAGTGTAGTTTGTGATGTTCACCCTTCTGTGGCGCTGCTGCTTCTGTCTGGCCCGGGATGGTTACCTGGGTAGATATAGGAGACAGGTAATAGGGGGAAGGACCAGGAAACGGGTCCCGTGGGTCGTTATTCAGTAAGAGCCAGGGGCATTGTGGCGTAACCTATGTCACCTATAACAAGCGCCCGTAATCCATCACGCACCTGTCAATAAGAAAATACAGGTCCTACACAAAATGGTTTTATAAACACCCTTCATAATATTGTTATGTTATTATATTTATTACAAAAAAATAGGTACCTAAATTTGTGAGTAAACATATTAAAATAGCAAAGTTTTTTTATATAGGAATTTAAGTTATTTCCAAAAGGAATATATAAGAAACTCCATCATCTGGTATCTTGCACAAATGCCCGGTAAGGTACCTCAATTTTTTGTGAGTAAACATATTAAAATAGCAAAATTTCAAAGAAAAAAATCTTACAAAAAATTATGTATCCTTTAGGAATGTATCATCTGTCCTTAAACGATGATTTAAAGGTTTCATTATTGTGAAATAGTTCATATTTTATTCATTAACTTTTCTGAAATATTAATTAATATATATGTCATATTAAAAGTTTTGACATAGGCATTGCACAAGTCTCATCAATTGTGAAAAATCTCTTTGGTAATACTTCAAAACTGTTTATACATATATAAGAAAGATGCATAGGCAGATATTTAGATTACGCAAAAAAAAGGAACAAAGTTTCCATATTCCATTAAAAAGTTTACCATTCCAAAGACACTTTACGACAGAAACGACAGAAGCGGTTTATTAGTGTGCGACAAATAGTTGAAAATTAAGATTCCAAGACTGTTACATGTAATTTAAGGAAAATTACTTAACAATGTTAAAAATATTTACATTATAGTATAGACCAAATGTACATCGTAAATCCGAAGAAAAAAACAGATAGTACTTCCGATTAAACAAATTTCCGCAATAACCGTCTATGATTAATGACCACTAATAATGAACACTAATTAGGGACGTCATGTACGGGGTCGGTGTCTTCAATAAGTCGCACCTTTAGAGGTAAGATACCATTACGTTATCCTAGTCTAAGTGAAGATTCGCCGAAATGGCGGCCTGTATATTGCTAATTAGTCAGAAAAACACGATTGGCGTAACGTATAGGACATTTTTCCTTTTATGAGAAAATAGCGGTTTCTTTTTTATTTCATGATCGGAAAAATACCCAGGAAGTGATATCTTTGATTTGATTTTTGTTAATTGATTGATTATTGATATACTTCTGTAAATGTATTCGTTTCATGAACTGTTGTTTTTATTCTGTTGTTGGAGAGAGGATCCATGGGTGAACAAGGCGGGAGGAATGCCTATAGTACGACAAATATTAAGGTGAAAATTAAATCTCAATTACATGTATATCCAAATTTTCTAGTTCGTTATTCATCTATCATTAAAATAAATTTCAAAATATGTAAAATTTCTATAACTTGCAAAAATCTCAGATTTGAACATTGGAACTATTTGAATACACACATTAAATAGGACAAAAACGGCCAATTACGCGGACTATAACATATTCTTTCGAGGTGAGTGGGTCTTCGCTCCATTTTTTGAAAGCATTTCCGAAATGGTTGCATAAAATATACAAATCTTGGTTACCAAATAGATCAAAATACCAAAGTGATCAAGCTATAGGCATTCTGCACGCCTTATTCGCCCAACTCCTTTTCTGCTATTCTGAATGCAATTCCAGGCCTTTTTGGTGATCAATGTTTATGTAAGAGTCTTTTAAGATTTGAAACTAAATTGCTTCATACATGTATAAGTCTACTTGGATTTGTGTATCCCCTTGCAGATGGCTGTGACAGGTCATTTGTCTCGGCCCCCGGGAAGTGCTGCGTCTAGGTACGTTACCTGTGTAGAACACGTTCATGTCGTAATCAGCGGCACTGATTATAACAAGATTTATGGGCAGGTGTAATATCCGGGTATTGTGTCTTCTTTACTTACCTATATCTTATCTACGTTATAGAGGTTTCATAAACATAAGTAGATAAATTTGATTCTGAGACTGAATTGAATTTTAGGAGGTAAAACAGACAGGGGAAACGTAGTAGAGAAGGGGGGGCCAGTTATTTTTTTCAAGAATAACATTTTACCTTTGAAAATTCATTGAAAGACTGGCTCCTCCGTTACCACTTTTTAAAGTGTACTGAAGGTGAATTTTACCTCGCTTCTTCAATATATCATTTCGTGCCAAAGACTGTTGCGTAATTTCTTTCCTGAAAAATATAAGATGAAGCCTAGTGTATATTTAAAGCAATATGAGCTGTATCTTTGAGAATTTTATTTTTATGGTAAAATGTGCTCTTATGATCAATTTGTATGTAATTTAAACTTTTATGATCAATAAGCCCAAAATAAAGTTTAAAAATCTTTCAGAAGAAATATTTCTGTACAACCGAATATATACTGTAGTTTTATATAAGAAATCATTATTGTACAGGACGACAATAATTCAATTTTGCTTCAATCAAAGCTAATAAAAAATTTTCCATGGCAAATATGAGCAACAGAAGTTTAAAAATAATTTATCTTTCTGTCATTAAATTAGTTAATTACAAATTTTCAGTAAAATTTTCCGATGTCAAACATGCAGCTCATATTGCTTTAATATCCTAGCATTATTCTCCGATTAAAAATATTTGGGGCCAAAGTTCGAAGTCATTTTTAACAAATGTTTGGATTTGAAGAATTTTTCTAAATTTTCATTCTCTTCTAGAAATATTCCCTCATAAGTCTTGCTACTTCATAACTTTATAAATAGTTTTGAACTTAGATTGTTGTTGTTTAATTATGTTCTTATAATTAAGAATTCTTTATAGCCCTGTGCAGTATTGACATCTCTGTAGATCATGTAATACATACATAATCTGAATAAGATCTATGTAATGATTAGGTTCCTGATTGTGATACACTGTAACACGACTTCCTTCATATGTACAGTGAGGGTGACAGCACGTTAAGGCGACAACATCAGTCAAGTGTAACTCTAATGATGTATTTAACATTTTCGATTTTATCAACAATTAAAAGTTGCTTTCATTCTTTAATAAGTATTTATCACTATTTACGCTTTTAATATTTTGTTTAGATCATAATTTTGCTTAAGTTTGAATGAAAACAATACTGACGGTATTGATAATATTTGTCTTTTTTAAAAATTATTATTATTATTATTTTAAGGACTAAATGATTCAATAATTTAGTTTTAAGCTCTCCGAAAAAAGATATTGATAGACCAGGGAGCTACAGTGCCACCCATTGAAAAAAAAAACTGTATTTATTGTGCACAAAAAAAAAACTGGCGCTTGGTTTTTGATTAAGTCTTCAAAATTCTTACCTCAGTTACAAACAGCTAGATTTCAAGATATTCCTTTATCCTATTTAAAGTATTTTGTAGGTGACATCTGTACGAAGCGCGTTGTTCCGAAATATCTTGCAGACCATAATAGCAGTAGAAATAGACGAAATTCGATAATCTCAATTTCAGGACAGGGGGGCTATTAACAACAATTAAAAGGAATGTTTTGTGTGGAAACAATGAAAGAATATGGTAGGAACACGGGGTTAATTTTTTTTAGATGACAGTTTTAAAAACATGGAAAAATAAATTGAGAAACAGCGCACCTTTTTGTGCGCAATAAATATACAGTTTTTTAATGGGTCGCACTGTAGCTCTCCAGTCTGTCAATATATTTTTTTACGGGGAGCTACAAGTCTGCTGCTACTTCTATGTGTGGTTTTTATTTTTACACTGGTTTAAACATTATTAATAAAAGTCAACCCCAACCCCTCCCGTCGAAAAAAAGAAACGAAGTCATTGGTAAACATGTAATTATATGTTTGAAAAAGCGTGTTCGATTAAATGAATTTTATCTACCGGTATATAAAAACCTCTCTATATATTCTATGAACAAATTATAGTTTTAATCTCTAATATTTTGACATCGACATAACCCCCGTGTGATTGAACTAACATGGGAGTATGTGTTACTTATCTGATTGTTGTAGAACAACTTCCTACACCGGCTTTGACACCTTGGTACACGGTCCCATCAGGTCTTTCTATAACAGTATTGTAAATTGGCATTGATGAACATATTTTATAAAAGGAGTTATCTGTTAGTTTTTCAATTAAATTTATGTAAGAATGGGATGTTTAAAAACTATTATTACTAGGCTATTAATTCGACTTTTTTTAAGCATGAAAACATTTTTGGGTCATCTCATTTCCATTTTAGTCCAAACAATTACTAGTATTTTGCATTATCTTTTTTTTTTTTTATTTCTTGTTTGCTTTTATAATTATACACGACGAAATGTGTTTGATTAGTCTGGTTTACAGGTAGTGTGTTATCATAAACATGCAAATAGAAAGCGATCCTATACTTCAAGTGTTTAGACGAAACAAAACTAATTTCTTGGAGAGTTAGAAAGACAAACATTCTAATTTTTGTCAATGATACCTTACAAAACATACACATTTTGGTTAACATGCTTTTTGTTGTGCAATACAGCTTTAAACCAATGTTTTGAATTAAATTTTTCACTGGCTTCTTGTAATGATCCATTCAATTTTGTGAGAATTTCTGTAATTCGCTAATTTTGACTATCTGACATTGGTTCAGTAAAGTTTAGTCTATAATATCCACACGATTCTGAAATGCAAGACTTTCGGTCTAAATTATGTGTCATTATCATCATTATAACAAAGTTATGAGATAAAGCTTCATGGAAATTTTGTTTTTTTTCCTGTTGGTTTCACACTTTATCTTCGCAAGTTACTCTATTTCAGTTGGAAAAAACTATTAGTTCTCTCTATTTCATTTGGAAGAAATATATTTATCCACGTACATTTATTTTCGCCTTGGACCACTTCGTCATTCTTGCAAATGTAAATATAGAAAAAACATTTTTATGTCACCTAAGCCACTGAGGTGCCGTTCGTAAACTTGAGCAAGATTTCGGCTTCATTTTGAACCACTGAAATATATTCAACCAATTTTGGCATATGGCATCAATGGTTTTAAAAAATGTACAAAAATTGTGAAGTTCATGGTCGAAGCTTTC